TTCCAACTTTCCCAGCCTCATCAATCTTCAGGATGGTAGCCACTGCCTTGCTCATCCTAATCAGGGTCAGGATAATCCTGATCAGGGTCAGCATTTTGCTCATTTATCTCTTCAGGGCATGCTGACCAGGGAACAGAGGCATCCCTAGATTTTGGTCTTACTTGTCATTATGTGCATGGTGTCCAGTAGTCTACTTGGCTTACCAGAGACTCAAAACAATCTGTAGGATAAGCAAATGGAATGTTTGAGTCCAACCAGACCCACTCAGTCTATTCTGGGTGCACAACTTATGTTCTCCTTTTGTGTCATTATAGGACCTCATATTTACCCAACTCCTTTATGGCTAAGGGGTAGCCAGCATATCTGAAACAGAAGTAATAATAAGTGTAGTCTTTAAGCAATAAAGAGCAAGACCCTCTGTTACCTGCATGATTGTGTGGGGAGGCCCGCCCTCCTTGGCCCCAGGAGGAGGAGTGAGCAGCTTGTCTTCCAGGGCTTTGCTGGTACCTTGGAGAAATGGAACCAGGTTGTAGCCACATGCAACAGTGGAGTGATTTCTCATAGAGGTTCCAGGGACACATTCCAAGGGTGTTTCTTTCTCTCCATTTGTACTATTGAGAGCTATGTGCCCTCCTTTCTGGCCTACTTTCAAATTTTCCATCTGAGGAGGGCAGACATGATTGGTGGGACCTCACCTATGTCCAAGCCACATGGCTTTTGCCTTCTTGGAGGTGTCTTATCCAGAGCATAGCCCTTGTCCACTGGTGCAATCTCCAGTTCTTGGTATTTGACCTTGTAGTCTAAGCTGCTGTTGGCTACAAAACCCCTGGGACAGATATTTTGATGGCAGGGGACATGGGCTCTTTAAAACAAGTTTTCAAATATTTGGACTGTCAGTCTTCTACATCTCTGCCTTCAAGTAAAGTTTGAGCAATTAGAGGTCAGGCTCCTGCAAATTTAAAACCTTTCTGGAGCTACTTGACTTTCAGTAGCCAACTAAACATCTCAGCTCCTGCTTATACACTTCGGGAGGACCAGACAAATTGATATGTAAAAAGCTCCCAGAACTGTGCTGGCCTATGGAGTGCTCAGGACTGTTTTTACTGACTTCCTTAGGCTCTGCTAAGGCAAACTGCTTAATTGCATACATTCTGATTTGGAATACATTCTCCTAAAGAAACCTCTTTAGTAGGGGCCTGTATTTTATACTAAATAAAACCACAATTTTCATATTTTCTAATTTTCACAATAATATGTATATTATAAAAATTAGAAAGTATAGTTGAACAAAAAAAGAAAGAAAAAAGTCATTTGTAACTACACAGCCAGTTGTAATCAACCCGTGTCCTCCTAGTGCTGTAGGTGTGTATATGTGCACACATGCATGAATATTGCAGATTGAAAGCAATATGTAGGATTACTATCTATAATATATTGTAATATAGCTTCATATTTCCTACATTCTTCGGCACAGTTTGAGCTGGTTATGTGGAATTCTGTTATACTACTGTAGATCACTCTGCTCAGTTGCTAGAGGTCAAATTGCTTATTTTCCTCCTATAGATATCTTTTTAATGGTTTTGATATGCATTATCAGTCTAAGTCACCAAAGGCTTGTGGTTGATAAATGACTGTCATTGGGTTACATTCCTTGTTCTTCAAAATCTTTTGATTCCAATAAAGAGAAACATTTCCTGTTAAGAATAAGGTACCCCATTATTCTGAACTGATTTCAGCAGGCATTAACACAGCTTGGGAAGACAAAGTATTTTCTATACATGGTATAACTTTCCCAGGTGGTAAGAAAGTAACATATACTTGGCCCATTAGCACAAAAGACCTGTTGGCACATGTGCTAAAGTTACAGAAATCAGGCTAGAGGAGGGGTAGAGCTAGTTAGCTGCTGTGTTTGTCTCAGGTCTAGATCCTTTATTGGCTTGGCAGAGAGCTTTGGGCTGTGATTAGGTACTGTGACATAGACACAAATACTACCAGGAGACTAGCAACCTTCCATGAGGCCAGTGGCTCTTTTACACAGAGCAGATTCAGGAGATGATCTACACAGAAAATAACTTATTGAAAGCTTGGGATAAAGTCAATTAATAAATAATTGATATACTCAGAATCCTAGAGCCCAATATAAACACCAAAAGGTTTAGGTGGTCATGGTGAAATCCATCTTATTTTTCTTTCTCTTATGCTCCTGTCCCATTACTTGAATTTACAGAATCACTTCATTTTACTAGCTCCATAAATATGAGGTTAACATAAATTTTGTTTGCTTTTGAACACCTGATAGTGAATCAGTCTGGGATATAAGCTGACCCCTGCTTTGGGGTTTGAGGGCACATCAGGCAGGAAGCATAGAAATTTGTACGATTTGGGCTACAATGATATTATATGCTTGCTTTTAAACCTAGGGAAAGTTTCCAGTGATTGACACTGAAGTTTTATTCAGACAACAGAGAATTCTGGTGTTTGAGGAAGGGATGGTCATGGTCCCAATTCTTAGGCCAACGCGGTCTTTTACAATTTTCTTTTACAGAGCCTGGGAATAATGGATCTTCCTTACCATCATCTTCCTTGCATTATATTGGATTATAATTGTTCTTTAAGAAGTCTCATTTAGAGATGCCCAGTGAATGTGTGCTGGGGGTGGGGTTGTAGATTGAGAACCTTCTTTTATTTCCTGGGTCACAATGACATCAATGTTAGAAGAGATAAACAAGCATTCTTCGTATTCTAAGATGCATGTGGCCTCCTCGTCTTGGGGGAGCGGGATAGCTTTGGTGGAGAAGAGAGTTAGGCTAGGAGTAATGCAAGAGATGGGCCTTTGGGACAAACATGATTATAATGGATGTTCTCAGGGAATAGGAATGACATGAAACTACAATTCCTGGGACATTGTAGGGGCAGTTTGTAACATCTAATAAATCATCTAGTAGGTATTTGTCTGGGTTCAGACCCAGGTGGACCAGAAATAGCACTTCTTTTTATTGCCTATAGCACTTCTTTTATTGCCTTAGGATCAACTTGAATCTGAGAAACTCCTAACTCATAGGCCCTAGTGTCCAATTTGAGAGTCCTAATTTGCACTCCTGCTCTACCAGTGTCTGGTGGAGAGTGCTGGGAAGTCCATGCCTATGATTCTACCTGCTTGTAGGAATGAGAGCAGGATCTTTCTACTCCAAGAACCCAAGGCTAGATTCCCCCTGCCTCACATCCAGGTTTTAGAGATTTCCTTTTAGTCTTAGGGATCAGAGGGATTCTCTTATTACATTCCTTCTTTCCCTTGGAACCCATTCCTTGTATCCATTCTCCAGACCTGCCTTTCAGAATATCTTCATCTTCCTTGAATTATATTGGGTTATAATTGTCTAAAATGACTAGGATGTTTGACTTGGATGCACGCATGCTCTCTTCCTAGCCTTGGGTACTTTGTAGTTTTTAATGTTGAAGATAATGAGTAGGAGAAATGGGGGGGGGGCTGGGAAGGTGGCTCAGTGGTAGAGCACTTGCCTTGCATGCATGAGGCCCTGGGTTCGATTCCTCAGCTCCACATAAGCAAAAAGAAAAAAGCCGGAAGTGGTGCTGTGGCTCAAGGGGTAGAGCACTAGCCTTGAGCTGAAGAGCTGAGGGACAGCGCCCAGGCCCAGAGTTCAGGCCCCACGACCGGACCCTCCCCCCCCCCCAAAAAAAAAAAGAAATGGGGAGAAATATAAATTAGTATCTCAAAATTTTTCTTGCATTTTCCATTTAAAAACAATTTTCTTGATAACAGAGAGCCAAAGATGTAATGTGAACTCCTGTTTTCCAAAGTAGGAACTGGGAGTAAATGACTCTAATTCAGACTTTTCCCCCAAAAGTAGAGTAAGTATATACCCTCAGTAATTTTAGCTTTCTAGCACTTCAATAACTATATGAACTAATGGATTCATGGAGACATGAAAATTACTTTGGACTCCACTTGGAAGATTTCTATTAATATTTCTTTCCAGTGAGAGAAAAATTATATCTTTAGTTAAATCAACTTTTGTCTTAGGTTAGGACTCCTTTACATTTTTTTTTTTTTCTCGATTGTGGGGCTTGAACTCTGGGCCTGGGCACTGTCCCTCAGCTCGTCAAGGCTAGTGCTCTACCACTTGAGCTACAGCGCCACTTTATGGTTTTCTGGTGGTTTATTGGCGATAAGAGTTTCACGGGCTTTCCTGCCCAGGCTGGCTTTGAACCACGATCCTCAGATCTCAGCCTCCTGAGTAGCTAGGATTACAGGCGTGAGCCTCTGGCACTCAGCTTCCTTTACAGTTTTACAAAACATAAAAGATCACTAAGAGCTTCTGTTTATATGGGTTGCCTCTACTGCTATTTGTCATGTTAGAAATGAAAAGTAAAAGTGAAAAATTAAGAAGTAATTTAAAATTTTTAAGTTTTAAAAGGTAATTAATTCAAAAGGTTAAATCTATTAGGTAAATAACATATTGTAGGAAAACAAGTATATTTTCTGAAATAAAAATTAGAGGGCTACATTTTCCCTTTCACATTTGGTTTTAAAGGTAACAGGTAGATTTTTGTATCTTCTGAATTGAATCTGTTGTTATTTGTCAAAATCCATGAAGAAAAGAGGCATTATATAGATAAGCTGTTGTAAAAAAAAAATACTCAATGGCCTCCTGAGGGGATGGCAGGACTCTTAGGAATTTTGAGGTCACTTTGAACTGCTGGTTTAAGTAGCTCAGTTACCAGAGTATATGTTGTTTTTGTGAATGTGAGGGATTGATGAATCAACATGGGAACACATTCAATGGACTAAAGGTTACTCTCTATCTGGGTGCTAGATTCACTTTTCACATTTCTCCTCAGTTGGCATAATACTTGCAAAATATATTATAACAGCCCCAACTCAAATAGAAGTTATTTAATTTTTACTTAGCCCTTGTAGGAAATAACAGGGGTGGTATTTTAGTGTCATATGTCTTTAATGGTCCCCCCACCTTTTACAGAAATATAAAGAATATGAAAAAGATGTTGCCATAGAAGAAATTGATGGACTGCAACTAGTGAAAAAACTGGCAAAGAACATGGAAGAGATGTTTCACAAGAAGTCTGAGGCGGTGCGGGTAAGTACTCCTAGTTCTGCTTTGTGTTGCCTGAAAGCCCAAAAGGAGCTTCAGGGAGTGACACTGATGAGCCCAATTCTCAGATATGAAAGTTGACCACTACTTCAACTGTTTGTTCAGTTTGGTGAACCAGAAGTAGTTAGCGAGGCCCAAAAGCCTGCTTTATTCATAGAGTTCTAGTGCCAGTTTTCCCCTTAGGATTTTATGCCTTCAGCAGAGGGGCACTAATTAAACATTCATAGATGTCCCCCAACTGTGTGATATGCTTGCTCATTCCCCAATGTTATTCAAGGGGACTTGAGTTTCAACTAAGTAGCTAGTAAAAATGGTAAATAATGATGGTGAAAATGTGGACTTTAAAACCTTAATGGGATAAATGAAGAAACTGGAAGTGATTCTTAACTTTGTTGGAACATGCCATAATTATAATGTTTGAATTGATCAGTAATAGCTTTCTGAAATGTCAGTATTTGCTGGAAAATGGGACTGTAGTATACATGTGTATTATTTTGGATTTTCAAGATGGTTCCCAATTTCATTCCTTATTGCCAGCCAAACAGGGCATCTTACATTTTTAGTTTAGGATGTACGAGTGTTGCAATATCTAGCATTAATTTTGTATTGGTACAGAAGTATGGCTAAAATTGTAAGCTGAAGAGTCATTTAATTCTCATGTATAGTTTGCTTCACTTTCAGTTTTAATAATTTTCTACAGAATAATTTTATTATAAAGGATAACTTGCTAGTTTGGCTTTTCTAGATTTACACGTGTTGTTTATACCTTAAACCACATACTCTTGCATTTTTACTTGCTCTAAAACAGCTTTGTGCTTTTCCCATTTAGGGGAGGTAAGATGATATCTTTTTTGTCTTTTAGAAGAGAGATTTTATTCGTTGATGTGATATTATTTTTAAAAATTTTTTATTGAGAAAAGAATATTTGGTGAAGTCTTTAGGTTCTCCTAAGGATTTTCTCCCCTGCAAACAGAAATAAGTATGATTCTTTCTTCCATGTATGTGTATCTACAGTATTCATATCCTCTGATGAAGTAATGCTTTCGCTAAGTTTTCTTACACTAGTTTTTTCTCTTTCGTTTTAATTGTCAAGGTCATGTACAGAGGGGTTACCTAAGTAAAATAATAAGTACATTTCTTGTCAAACTTATTACCCCTTCTCTCATTTTCTCCTACTTTCCTTCCCTCCAATCCCCTCCCCCAAGTTGTATAGATCATTTCCAACATATTGTCATTCTTCCGCTAAATTTAATAAAGATGATGATATTGGAAAAAAATTATTGAGATTAAGTGATTACATAAATTTCACAAAGTTCACAGTATTATGGGATACTGATACTTACTTAAAGTTACAAACACATTTTAACCTTCACAAAGCAAATAGTCATCATTGTCTATAAAGTTTGTGAATTCTATAAGCTTTGACCGTACAACCATTTCTTCCAAATCAGGTGATATGTACATTTCTTTTCTTTTGCTTAGTGTCAGCTGTTTCCTCTTTCCCTCTCATTTCCTCCCTCCCATCACTGGAGGTTATATCTCATGATGGAAGAGCAAGAGTTTGACCTGGGTTTCATTGCTTACCTTGGTCACTCATTATGCTTTGAGTCTCAGCAAAACACTGTTTTACGATCCTTAATTTCCTTATCTGTAAAATGGGAAAAACTCACCCATGGAAGATCTGAATCATGATTTTGAGCCACACAGCATAGGCCCTGTAGGTAAACATCACTTAGGGAATAAGAGCTGTGGCTGGGCCTGTGCTTATTGTTTACATAAGACATTGCCTTTCGGTGGGAGCTCGGAAGTGGCTTGGAAGAATGAAAGCTCTTTTGTATTTTTTAATAAGTTTTTTATTGTGAAAATACTGTTCAGAGGGGTTACAGTTACATGGGCAAGGTAATGAGTCCATTTCTTATCAAGCATTGTTGCCTCCTCCTTTGTTTAAAAGCTCTTTTATCTATCATGAAAGTAGTGTACTGACAACCAGTTCTGGAAGTGGCCTCTGGCGTGTCCGCATGTCTAGGCAGCATGGTGGCCATTTATTCACCTCTCAGAAGCAGAATCTGGGAATGTAGATAATAACCACCAATAACATTTTTTGTTCATAAAATGGACACCTTAGTGAAACTTTTATAAGATTGGTTGCTTGATTTATTGTTCATACATAAGAGAATCACTGCAGAAATATTTGTTGTTGAATTTTCAAACAATGTAAATGTCCAGAGACATGGAAGCAGAGCAACAGTTATGACAGACTCACATACCGGAACATTTTGCAACCATTGAGAAAATCACAAGACACAGCGACACATAGACCATCATATTTAATTCTAACATCAACTGTAGGACTAGTTATCATTTTCCTAGAGCTCAGCCAGCACACTGGACAGGATGAAGCCATTTGCCAAGTTATATGAGAAAGGACCAGCAGAGTTAACTTTGTCATTCTGATAGCAAGAATGCATTGCTTCTGTGTGTATCTGTGCAGTGTTCGACACAGAGCCTGGTAACCAGACAAAGCTGAGTGAACATTGGCCATTACTTCTGGCTAAGGGTTTTCCATCTTGTGAACATGTAATAGTGAAGGAGTCTTGCAGCTGCAGGAAGCACCTGGATAATGACAAGAAGGAACATGAACTGGGTTCATTCTCTTTGTATTGCCTAATTTTGAAACCTTTTTGCTTTAAATTTGTGAGCTTTCCACACACAGCCCCCTTAGACTATTTGATATGGTTGGTGTGGTTCCTTTGAGAGGAAAAAGAAATTGCTCTGTTTGAATTGAAATGTTCCCAGAATAAAAGCAGCTCAAATTCTTTGTAATGTGTATTTTATGTATTTTTAAATAGGTGTATTGGCCCTTTGTAAGCATGCCTGATGCCATTACATCTTGTTGAGCACATCAGTCTTATATGTGATGCTTGTCTTATCCCTTATTCTTTTCTTAGGGTTTGTTGGGATTTTGTCAGGAGACAGTTGAGAGGAGCCTGGTCCTTCATGAGCCATGCAACTCTATGGCCAGCAGTCAGAAACCATGTAGTTAAATGTTGGTAAATGTTGAAGCTGGAGGAGTAGTGATTGTGACCCTTTTTAAAAACACACACACATTTTTAATTGTAAAAATACTGTACAGATGGGTTACAGTTACATGAGCAAGGTAATGAGTACATTTCCTATCAAACATTGTTAACTCCTCCTTTGTTTTCCCCCTACCCTCCCTTCCTTCCACTTCCACAACTACACCTTCCCCCCTTCCCTCTTCCCCCCTCCCACCTAAAATGTATAGTTCATTTTCCAACATAGTGTCTTGTACATCTCATTTAGTTAGAATGGGTCAACCTGTATCCCTATTTAAGCATTTTGTTTTTTCCCTTCTCCTCCCCAAGCTAGAGAAGTGTATATACAAGATGCAGGGCACCGACATCAAATACAGTGAAAACAGGGTATATACTGTGGGGGAGGAACATATGACCCTTTTTTAATATTACAATGGCACCTACTTCTGCAGCAGGGAAGGTTATTGTATTCCTCTGAGATCTGAAAGAAGAAAAGTCTAAATCCAAATTTGCCCATGTTTTATACTCTAGCACTAGAATGCACCATTGTGAAACAGGGTAAGTACTTTCCCATGATAGCCACTGAGTGGCCAGTGGACCCTGGAGCAGAGCAGAATTTTAAGTTTGTCACAGTGGGTGCACCAGTCCTAGGAATCTTCCATTTCCAAGCCCTGCAGCAATTCTGGTCAGATCAGAGGTCTTGGGACCCTCCCTCATCCTTCCTGATGCCAGGTGTTTATCAGTCCTTTTTGGCTTATCACTATGAATCATAAACATATACAAGGAAAAACCTGGTTTACAAACAACATGAAATATTAACAGCCCCCACTGATGTGGACAGTAGGTGGTGGCAGTTTACAAAAGGTTGTAAGGGTCGCAGGTTTGGTCTATTCAGGTAGATTGAGGTGGTATTGGGGAAATGATGGACATCCCCGACGCAGCTCTTTAACAAAGCCTGCTGTTAAACAATGTTGATATTTTCCTCTTGTCTTTTCTAGCTTTATTTCATCATTTTCCTCCATCATTTTCCCCAGTGATTAGCTGAATCAGAGTGATTTTCTCATGTTCATCCCCTGTTTGAATTACTCTCCACCATGTAATTATCCCATCACAGAAAGTCCTATTTTTTCCCTCATCAGATGTCTGAGGTAAATGTGAAACCTTGAAGTGCCCTGGCCATTACCTAACCTCTGTCATTGGGTTGGTAATGGACTACATATAACTTTTTCAGACTAACAAATTATAAATAACCTTAGTTTCCATAATTTCCATTAACATAATGGTCCCATCATTATTGCGGCATTTCTTTACATTTTCTAGCACTCTTCAATGCTATGAGTGGTTTAAATAATTTTTGCAGATCTACTCGGAGGCCAGCTCTAGGTTATTTGAAACACTAATGCTGCCATTGGCTTTTGTGTATTGTATTTGTGCTTCAGGCACCATCTCCAAACTTTTTTATGCAAACATATTCATGTTACCAAGCTCTCAATTGGAGTTGCTGAGCCATTTATCAAGCTTCTCACTCCTTTGAAAAGACAAGAAGTGGGATCAATTTGCTTTCACTTTATTAGTGTTTCATGGGAGTTCTCTTACCTACTAGATGTGGAAGAAAGGAAATGCTCTAGTCTTCTGCCAACATGAGCCTCCCATTGGACCATTCCTAAGTGACACCTGGAATGCTTGTCTGTGACAGAAGTCAGAACTCATCTGGGGATATTGACAAAAGGCAATTTGACACAACTCCCCTTTTCCTGAGTTGCTGATGTTGAGAAATGTGCCTGGATGTAAACAGAAGAAGAAGCCAAGGGATACATGTTTCATGACTTAGTTATATAGATAGGAAGTCTTCCACCTTTCCTTTGTCTTTATGATCCAACCGTACACTAGGAGTAGCCCTAGCTGTCAGTTATCTAGAAGCATCAGCTA